CAGGCACCGCAAAAGACCGAGGGGTTCATAAATTGGCAGAAGATGGTGAGCTTCTTTTTTCAGCAGTTATATAAACTTTAGGGAATTATAAAAACGAAAGGGATGATTTCTCTTAACTGTCTCTAGTTTCATTGAAGCTGAACTGTAAATGTTATATACATTCCAATAATTATATGCCCTGTAAATCCTATAAACCAATAGGATAGTGACAAAGAAAAACTAAAAATCTCAGAAAGATAGACAGTGCATTTCTTCAGAAACCCAAACTCTCTTCTGATCCACAGAAGCAAATGGAATGCAATACAATTTAAGTTCTATTTCAGTTAATTATATCCCATCAAACCATACTCTCTGTTTGATGGATTCCTAATGTTTTAATTCAAGTCCGTTTAATTAATCTTGTCACTTTTAATAACCAACACAATTAATTTACCGGGGAATAAAATGGCCCTGAATTATTAGTGATGAAGGTAGCAATGTTTCTTTATAGCAACCTCATGTTTTAACAAAACCCAAACTGTTATGAGCTTCCAATTTCATTAATGTTCTGTGTGTGTAATTAAATTGATTATCTCATAGCGTTTAGCATTATTACCGTTAACTAAATTAGATCAACCCCATAGCAATGCCATTTATCAGTGAAAGGGGAATAAACTTAGTGTTATTCATCTTCATTATAAAAACTGAAGATGTTAGCTTTTATTTGACTGAAATCCCCTTGAAAGATAGCCATCTAAATCTCTACACTGTAAAAATCAACATGCCCTTAAAGTATAATAATTCCTTGCATTTATATAGTGCTTTTCTGGACACTCCTCTCAAAGCAATGAGGACCAGTGTGCAGCACCCACCCGGATGATGCAACGGCAGCCAAAATGTGCCAGTACGCTCACTACACAAACAGTTTCAACAAGAAATGGTGTGTTTTCCACATAAACAATTGCCCATCCATTTATTTAATTGGCTTATCCAGGACAAGGTCTCTGGGGAGTCGGGGTCTATCCCAGCAAGCAGTGGGTGCAAGGCAGGGAGCTCTCTGGGCAGGACATCAGCCCATTGCAGTGCAGACAGACACACTCACACCAGAGCCAGTTTTCCCAGAAGCCAATCAATGAACCATTACATCTTTGGAGTGTGGGAGGAAACCGGAACACCCAGAGGAAACACGCACGAACACAGGGAGAACATACAAGCTCCACACAGATAAAACACCAGTAATTGAACCCAGGGCCACGGCCCCCCTCATATGCAGTAATTCCTGTATTGCAGCACTGGTCTGTGCCATGTTTCCAGCAGGAGTGGCTTCATTTGTGGTTTTGATGAGGGCAGCAGCATCTGGAATGGAAATCAATGAGAGTGAGGAGGAGCGACACAAATATAAGGACGCAGAGAAAGGGAATTAATTTTTTTTTCATTTCTTTGGATTTTATTTTTTAAGTTCAGCTTTATACAGTTCTCAACAGGACTGAGACCTGGGGATCACTCTGCACAGGGAAAGTGCAGAAGTCTGGCTTAAGTTCTTCACCCCTACAGCCAACAGCATTAATACTGTACATGTTAACTCAGGTTTTCTCATATTTTGGCCAGTTAAAGAAGAGGTTTCTGAAGAGGATGGATACTGCTGGGCCATGAGAACATGTTGAAGTGCTTTAGAAAGAAGCCTCTTACAACAGCAGCCATGGCTGACAATGCAGTACTTGGTCCAATCAACTTCTCCTCACATGATGTACAATAAATTGTACAAGCACAGGAAGAAAAGATGTTAGAAAAGAACAGAGAGAAAGAAATTGATATTGCACTATGGGCTAAAATAGGCCTAGATTATTTGACTGACACTTATTCCAGAGTTCACCCAATTTTACAGCGGGGTATTTTACTGGAGCCATCTGTCTGAGTCCCTTGCTCAGGAATACAAATCTCACCTGGGATTTGAACCCTTCATCATACTGGATTTAAGGAAATTAAAAATTGAAACTACTAAAACACATCTGACAACATACAGTGGCTATGAGAAGTATTCACCCCCCTTGGACTTTCTCACTTTTTATTATGCTACAATATGATATCACGATGTAATAAATTGTGATTATTTTTGCCATTGATCAACACAAAACACACTACAGTATGTCAAAGGATATAATTCTGCATTTCCACCAAAATTAATTATAAATTTGAAACAGAATATAACTGATTGCATATGTATTCGCTCCCTTTTCTCTGGTGCATCCAATGGCCTTTAGAAGTTAGTTGAATGGATTCCTCCCGTGTGCAATTAAGCTGTTCAGGCTACACACACAAATCTCTGGAAGGTTCTATACAGATTAGTACAGCTGATTAGTACAGCTCCCAACAACTACATCTTGAAGACAAAGGAAGATTTGGAGCAAATCTGAGATACTTTTTCAGAAGTATTAAGTATCCTGAATATTTATTTGTGTAAGTGTTGGCCATAAAAAGCAAGGATTACTCCTGTAAATATTATGTGTGTTGGGAATCTAGTTCTTTTTTATCTGATACTGAGCTTCAACACAAACCAAGCACCAGTTCAAGCATCTCTTTACAAATCCTAAAGAGCGATGTTTTACTTGACAAATACATCTAGCAGTGCTAGCCACTCGTGACATTGTAATTGGCAAGAAATACGATTGTACTGTATATAAACTCCCTGAATTTGTTTCAAAACTACAGATGTTATGAACAGATGCATTGTATATGTTTTTTGGGAGGTTACCACAGATGTGGACAAATTCAGGATGTTTGTTTTCACAATTACACCTATTGTGTACAAATTCAAGGCACTTGTTTTCAAAACTACAGCAGTTATTAACAAATTCTCTAGTTTTATTTTTGGGATTACAACAATTGCAGACAAATTCAGGGTATTTATTTTCACAATTACAGTTATTGCATACAAATTCAAGACATTTGCTTCCTTTATAAAATTCCTTAAAAAGAAATACAGTAGATTTACAGATTAATGTCTTTTGATCACATCTTTATCTAAAGTAACATGAAATCTCAGTTTCTACCATGAAGTAGGACAAACTAAGTTATGTGCAATAAGTAGATGGGGTTACTGAACTTACTGATTAAATACATTTAAGAAAACTAATGAATAATTCCTTAACAATTTGCAGGATTTCAAGGCAATGCAACACTATACTTCTCTCTTCCTCATACAAGTGTGACGTATTTAAATAGTAGGTCAATATACAACATGACTGGATCTGTCTTTGAAAATATACATTAATACAATATGTAGCTGTTGGCTAGGTGGATACATTATGGGCTGAAAATTTGTTTTTTTAATAATTAAAAAAAAATCCTTGGAGGTTTTAAGCACTAACATTTTCAAAAGTTGTTTGCCTATCTATATACGATATCAATATCGATATCTATATACGATACATACTACTAGATTTAAATACATACAGTATGTGTGAGTAGGAATAACCAACAGATAACTTTGAAACTATCAATGTACAGTACAATTTGGTTTCTCATGCAGGAATAACCATTAGTTTCCTTGTAGGCAAATAATACACAAGCAGGTTCCCTAAGAAATGTCAGCACTGGCTGAAATGGCCCAGAGCCTTAAATACATTTTGCGTAATAAAATGATACAAGAGACAAAAAATGCTTCCATGTATACTAAATAAGAGCAAGCAAATGTACTGTAATTCACAAGACTACAAGAAAGTAAGCAATGCAGAATTATCCCAGGAGCTTGTATATATGGATCAAGGAATCCTTGGGCTGTCAGTAGGAGTGGCAGGTGTTGGGGGAGAATACACAGACTCTGCAGTGATGGGTGCTTATCTAACCTGAGAGTGCAGTTTCGTTCAAATAGGACATCCTAGTCACTCCTGATGACCAGAATCTGCATGGAAATCCCCAATACTACTGTTTCTCATATCATATGAATGCCTCCAGACTGGAAAGATACTGTACATAATGCAAGTTTCCAGAAGTTTATATATATTTCTTGTTTACCTGAAATCCTCCTGAAGGCCTGCTGGATTATGGCTCTCCACTTGAAAGATCGGCCATCCAGTTTTTATTGGAAAAAGGCACCAAGATTAAGATGAAGCTGTGAATTGGCTTTCAAATGTAGGTTTTTTAATTGTGTAAAAAATTGTTTAATAGGAAGCAATCCAACTGGAATTATGAATTAAAATATTTTGAATAAAGATTAACAACCTACAGTAGCGTGCAACTTTATGAATGCAGCGGTTACCCCCCGAATAGGACTGTATATACTGTATCATCACGCTGAAAGAGCGCTATTTATTTTTTACAATAGGAGAACGTGATGAAACGTATAATGTTTTTAAACGTTTTATTTGTTCCTCAAAATTACAGCATTTCTTCGGTTTGGGGGGCGTGCTTAAAAAACACCCAGTTTCATAAGGCATTAGATT